TTTTTTCTCTTCCCAAAAATCAAGTCTGCGCTGAAAGGGACCAGGTTCGAGTCCGTGGATGCAGTGAAAGCAAAAGCGACGCAACTCTTGAAGAGCATAACACAAGATGACCTGCAGCACTGCTTCCAACAGTGGAAAATTCGCATGGAGCGGTGTAGGGATCGGGGAGGGGACTACATTGAAGGGGATAACATTTCGACTGTCTGATTTTTTTTTAATAAAGGGTTAGAGCATGAATCCGGTTTCTTTATTGCCACACCTTGTACAAAACGACCTTATTGACTCGATAAGTGACGTAATTCTAACAGAAATCAAAAGAGAAGTAAGCTCGGCCCCTTTTGTTGCTGTAATGGTTGATGAGACGACTGACATTCGAAGCCAATCACAGCTCTCAATCGTATTAAGATATGCAACTAATGATGGTGAAATACAAGAACGGTTTTTAGGATTTTTGGATGTGAGTGCTGATCGAACTGCATCGGCGTTAGCTGAACGCGTTATAAACTATGTAGTTCAGTATGATTTTAGCAGCAAAATAGTGGCCAAACGTATGATAGGGTGGCGGTCATGTCAGGTGAACTTAATGGGCTACAAACTAAAGTGAGAGACGTTTCCAAATGCCAAGTTCATACATTGTATGGCACATAAGCTTAATATTGTACTTTCACAGTCTGTCTCCAGTATTAAAAAGTGCAATATGTTTTTCAAAACACTGAACAGCTTTTCTTACTTTTTCTCTGCATCTTCTAAAAGGATGCACTGTTTGGATCAAGAAGTGAAAAAGAGGTTTCCAAAAGTTGCACCAACCAGGTGGAACTATAACAGTCGTCTAGTAGAGACAATATGTGAGTACAAATTTGAATTGAACACCATGTTCCAAAGTATAATTGAAAATCCAGATAACTGGGATAATGAAACGTACTTTGCCGCTCGAGGATTTCTTTCTGTGCTGCAAGAATTAAACTTTAATTTTCTACTTGCTGTTTTCAAAGATTTGTTTTCAGTAACCACCGTTCTTTTCGACATACTACAAACAAAATCAAATGACATATCTCTTTGTATCCGTAAAGTGACTGAAGGAAAAGAAGATATAGCCAAGAAAAGAGAAAACTTTGAGAACATATTCTCCGAAACGTCCTCAAATGAAGAAATTGATGAACCACAGAGCAAACGATTGTGTCTTGGCAATGTAGGAGATGTAAAAGAATGCTTCAGAAAACTTTATTATGAAATTTTTGATAATGTTGTGAATCAAATTGAATTAAGGTTTCAGAACTTAGAAAAGCTAAAGTTTCTTGAATTAATAAATCCTAGTTGCAGTAAGGCGTATGAAAAGACTTTTCCTGGAATTCCTTTTTTGTCACTGAAAACGGCGTATGGCCAGCACTTCAATTTTCCTCGTTTAAGAAGTGAACTGAATGTATTTTATTTTAATGAAGATTTAAACATCCAGAATATTGCTACATCTAAAAACTACACACATCGACAGTGCACTACACCAGCTGACAAAGTAATGTGAACTGATCGTGACAATTCCTACAAGTAGTGCTTCAGTTGAACATTTGTTTCTGCACTGAAGAGAATTAACACTTACGCGAGGAGCTCTCAAGTGGAAGGTAGAATGTCCAGGTTGTCTCTGTTGTCCAATGAGAAGAAATTATTGGAAAACATTCACAACAATGAAGGCTTCTACGACCATGTCATCAATAATTTTGCTGCTAAGGACCAGAGAATAGAGTTGGTCTTCAAATAAATTTTGGTGAGTTGATTGCTATCAGTTCATTTATTAGATACCATTGCTTCCCTTACCAAAAATAGTACCGCACGCCACTGGTTGTTAGTACCCATCTGCGAGACTACATAATGTGATGTCCCAGAAGACCATAATCTCATACCCAGTGACATGAGAACCTTATTTCTCACAGAATAATCTAAGTGTTGTAATTGATCATTTATTATATGCTCTGTAGGCATATCAGGCATTGCTATTTATTCTGGCAATGGTTTGTTTTATGGTTTCTCTCAGTTTGTCTACATAGGTCAGGCTAGTACTTCATTTGAGCGGTTCAATATTTATCATTTTCATATTCCCTTCCCATTCAAAATGCTATCCGCAGCAATGCAGTTACTACTCAAGCCAGCTTCAGCACTCATTAAAACACTGGTCACATGAAAACAATACTACGCATAAGTGAAATTAGAGAAAAAATGAAGCAACCATCCAGAGAACACAAGAGGGCAAAATAAATTGCGAAAATTATTCTGTGCTACAGCGAGCATAAATCGGTACAGAAGTGTTACTTAAAGTGGTAAATCACAATTAAATAAACTGAGCAGTGGATTTTAAATTAATTCTTTTTTTATTGCTAGTGGGGTGGGACTAAGTCCCTTGTACTGCGGCCACTTCTAGCCTATTGTACCAGCCTCATATGATATGTGAGGGTGATTTTGGAGCAATTGGTGGAATGAAGATTGGCAGGGGAAACTGAAGTACTCGGAGAAAACCTGCCCTGGCGCCACTTTGTCCACCACACATCCGACTTGACCAGACCCGGGATAGAACCCGGGCTGCCGCGGTGGAAAGCAAGCGACTAACTGCTTGAGCTATGGCGCAACCTTAAATTAATTAAGTGCAACATTTAGTATACAGTATGGCAAAATGGTATGTCACATAATTGAAAACTTGATAATCGGACTCTGCTGCCGTTGAATCATGTAAATTAAATGTCTGTGTCACTAGTAACATATCCAGATTTTAATCTAGTTAATTGTTCAATTAATTTCAGAGAGATGAACAAATACAAATCCCAGAGGTGATTCCCATGTGTTCGGCTTTTATATTTTGTTTCTAGATAAGATACACACTACCTTTACTTAATTATTACAAACAAATTTTGTTTTATGTAGATAATAACATAAAAAAGTACAGGCATACTTTGGAGATATTGCAGGTTCGGTTTGGTTCCAGATCACCACAATAACACAAGTTGCACAAATTTTTTGGTTCTTGAGTGCGTATGAAAGTTCTGTTTGCACTATACTGTAGTCTGTTAAGTGTGCAGTAGCCTTATGTCAAAAAACAATGTACATGCCTTAGTTAAAAAATGCTCTGTTGTTGAAAACTGCTAACTATCATCTGAGCTTCAGCAAGTCATGGTCTTTATGCTGATGGAGGGTCTTGCCATGATGTTGATGGCTGCTGACTTATCATGGTGGTGACTGCTGAAGTTTGGGATGGCTGTGGCAATTTCTTCCTTTCATGAAAGATTTCTCTCTAGGATGTGATGCTGTTTGTTGGCATTTTACCCACAATAGAACTTCTTTCAAAATTGGAGGCAGTCTTCTCAAACTCTGCCATTGCCTTATCAACCAAGTTTATGTAATATTATTATTTATTATTACTTATTTTAACTGCAAATGGGATTTTACCTGGTGGCAGTGGTACTACAGTAAGACACAACACAAATAATAAACAACACACAGAGAAACACACCACACTCAAACAAAACACAGCACAGAAAACTACATAAACTATAAAGGAGACACTACACACTGTGAATACAATGCAAATACATTAAACAGTAACAGTACTGAAATACATAATTTCATGAACTGATGCACTCACATTTCACCATGACCTTCCCTTCATTCCACTTCACTACACATGTGTATCCTTCACATCCTCACCACAATTTACTTCCTTTCATCTCACTTCACTTCACTTCAAAATTGTAGCCAGTATACTCAAACCCTGCTGCTGCTTTATGAACTAAGTTTATGTAATATTCTAAATCCTTTCTTGTCATTTGAACAGTGTTCACAACATCTTCACC